TCAGAAACAGCAGCCAGAATTTACAATTATGTGACCTCTTTACTGAATTTACAAATTTGAATAAAAACTACTTAGAAATCACTAAATATACAAATATAAGGGTCTCGTTATTATTGCTTTAGCGCCCCCTTCTGCTTGGGCGTTAGAACATGAGGCATTTATTATTACTGAATTCAATTTAGTTTCAATATATAATGACAACGATTTGGCTGCTAGTACGCACTCTTTTTATTGTAATGAATTTTTCATAAGTATCTGTCTGCTAAGGCATGCACTGTGAAAACTGGTTGGCAGTAAAAAAAAAAAAAAAAGACTGGGAAAGAATTTAGCATTACTTCAAATGTTTTATTTACAAATGCAGCTTAAAGTAAACAAGCAATTATTTGTTTGTGTACTAATGATTTTTACACATTCAACTTAGTTTCTCCATACGACCATATGCAAAATATGCAAAAATAAATCTAATACAGGGTCCTCTATTATTCCAGTTCAACTCTACTCATTAAACAAATACACCCAAGTTCAGATTATAATTCAAATAGTTGGAAAGTTACTTAAGGAAATCCAAAAATTCCTCACACTGTCCATGTATGTAGCATAAGTGGAAAGGGGAACCTTTCTTTTTAACAGGAAGAAATCTCCAGCAGAACCAGAACCAGGTGGAGTGTGAGCAGCCATCTGCCATGGCTGACTGGGGGTTTGAGAAGACAGAGCATACACACACATTTAAGCCTTCACCACCAGACATGATGTATGGAGGTCATGTAGCTAAAAAGGCAGTTTCACTGTCATTAAGTCGGTCACTGCTGAGTGACGATTTGCTTGATATCTTGGAAACAGAGAGGAAGGATGCCAAAACAAGACACGACTTCTCACAAGCATCCATATTGAGGATGTAAGAAATGAGTTTCCCCTCAAGAACTCTCAGGTCGATACACACCAGCTTTCTGACCATGTCACTCATATTTCACACACAACTAACTCCAACGGAGCCATTGGGAAGTTCTGCTCTCCCACATTCCACACCAAATGCTACAGGAACAGAAGGCAGGTCTCTCCTTCTGTGGGTTAAATCCTGCTGTTTCAGAGGAGTTGTGTGAGTGTGTGCCCACACGCATGAGATGACCTTCAGATGCTGCCGGACAAACACTCATTTCTCACCTGTGATTTACTTTTTCACATTATCAGTGCAACAGTGTAAAGGAGGTCAGCTATCTGATGAACTGCTGAAGAAGGCGTTGCTGACATGACATTTGTGCAGGACGCGGTAGCATTCGTGCTGCGCCGCTGCTCTAACTCCCTCCATCACAGCCCTAAAGAAGTCGGCTTGCAGGTTTTTTTCTCAGAGACAACTGGGAGCTCTGAGGTTAATCCGTTCAAGTTTGAAGTCAGGGTTTTTCTCTTATCGACTCTCTCCATCTCTCCTCTCTTAGCTTTCTCCACCATTGATGACCTCAGACACACACATACACACCCACACCCATGCACACCCACACATGTCAGTGCTTTGAACTGTGACTAAAGCCTCCTTGTGTCTCTGCATTTGTCTTTGAACTGTGTTAAAGGTTAGAGTAGCTTCTGCAGATTGTGCAGGACAAGAGCATATAAAGTTCATGCTGGAAGGTTCCAGCTGGTAGCTGTAGATTCACTGTCAGAGCATCAGGGAACAAACATGCCTGCTGTTTCCAAGCAAAGTCTTGGTAATGTGATCATATAACCTTTATATAAAACTTTATTCTCTTGAATAAGGTTATTCTTGCTTTATGGGTGTGAAAAATTGACTTTCCAGGACTTTTCTAAAGTTGAATGAGATCAGCATGCTTTTTTTCTTTTAGGGACAATAATCTGGAAAACCATATTTATCCTTAATATTGCTCCTTTGTTATTTACCTACATGTAGCTTTAATTTGTGACCTACATTTTCAGAAATATTGCAGTCTAGATTTCACCACCTTGAAACATATCAGCAGCCAAATCCTTCTTGAACCAGCCTGGTTTAGAAAAACATATTTATTTCTCGGTCAGATCACTGTAACACATTATTTGTTGGAATCTCCAGTCATATAACTCCATGCAGAAGTTTCAACATCACTCATCTTAAAATCTGTACACCAGCTTCCAGTTAAACAAATAACAAGTTTTAAAATCCCACTAACTTGATCTGCCCTGTTTTGTATCTTTCTATGATGCTAAAAGAATATAAATAACTAATATATACATAGTTGTGTATGTTAGTTATTTTCTCCTTTGTGCAAGAAGAAAATAATTCTTCACAATTTTTTCCCCTTAATAACAAACACCTTAATTTGAAAACTTGATCTTGTGTACCCTTTTATTATCTTTGACTAATATTTAAATTGGTTTGAAGTTTTAAAACACTGAAGAGTGATAAACATGCAAAAAAAAAAAAAAAAAGGAAGTGGGGCAAAAACTTTTTCATCCCGCATAGTTTAAATCTGACTTGATATGGACGGATTGAATTGCCGTTTTCTGTACAGAGCCTTGTGACGATGGCACTGTACATCGTTTGGTTTGTTTTTGTCAGGGGTGACAAAAATAAACGGAATTGAGTTTAAGTACAGAAATAAATTGGTGAAGCTGCTTGATCTGTTAAATGTTGGCTGTTCATATTGAATGAAGATGGCTTCTTACACTCCTCTTTCGAACAACGTGGAGATTCTGCTGTCATGAACTCCTTGTCCTTGAGACGTAGCTGAACTGCTGAGTCCTGAACTGAAAGCTGACTGTCCTGATCCAGAGCTGCATACACCACACCATTTACCCCGTGTTGCTCTGTTTAGTCCTCGGGATGAAGTAACCGTGTTGTAATCCTAGAAAGACACTAAGATTTTACTTCTTAGTGTCTCAAGTACTTCAGTCAGAATCATCCAAATAGTAAAATGACATCCAGTCCCATCAGGCTTTAGTTCTACTTCACATCCTGCTTCTGTGTCTATTTTTCTCTCTGTGCTCATAAGAACTTGACACCACAAAAGCTGCATGACTGCAGCAATGATATCATCCAGATGGGCTTTAATGAGCCCAATGTAATATGTACTGCCTGCAGCCATTAACTAAGAGTAGTTACACGATTTAAAAAAGCAGCCACAACATTGGAGTGAAGCATATCAACAGGGAATAAAGAAAGGCAGACATGACATCTCATTCAGAGCATTTATTCAGAGATAACACAGAAAATATCACTAAGCCATAAACTGGAGAATGAGTGGAATTTTTAATCTGAGTTAAAAAATTATTCTGGACTATTCACATATTTAAAAAAAACAGTTAATCTTTAGAAAAGTGTCATTTCGACAAAAAATGCCTCTGCTTCACTCACTCTCTAACACAACTCAATTTTTATCCAGTCGCTGATTTAGTTATTTGTTTATTATTTTTCCATTATGGCTTTGTGCATAGCTGTGCATTTTAACACAAAAAAAGAAAATGTAAAGAATGTTCACATTTGGGTCCATCCTCATCCCAACGCTGCTGGGATTTGGCCCAGAAGCAATTTCCTTTTAATCATTTGATTAAAAGTTTATCTCATAAAAACAGGCATCCACCCCAGACACTGACTGCCTCCAACACAACACAATAGATACATAAATACATGCAGAAAAAGGTGATATCTGTGAACAGAATGTAATGGGTCTTTGCTTATTTTTACACACAGATTTTAAAAAAAATCGAGATTTTTGGAAGTTTTGATGCTGGGATGAGGCGTTTGTTCTGTTTGATCATATCATAATTCTTTTAAGTGGTAAAACTGCAATCGAAACACTTTTTTTGCATCACACAAGTCACATGATCAACTGGATTTTGCCTCTGGCGCAAACAACGAAGAAGAACACAGGGGGTGGTTGGACGATGATGACGCCACATGTTTGTTAATGATTTATCAAGTGAACAAACTTATTCATGTATAATTTTAACTGAGTTTTTTTATTCATTGTAAAAACTGTAATTGCTAATTTGTGGTTTTTGTGATGAATGGAAACACAGTGAGTGACTCAAAGCAATCCACTGGATTTCTTTAGATAGAAAACCTTTTAGACTAATTTGATAAATAAAACTGAAATGGACGGCACTGTTTGATAAGTAGGATGAACTGAAACGCATAATCTAGTCAACTTTTTTGTGCGATGATGTGTTTATATTGGTGCTATTTAAATAAATTGACTGAAAGCCATGCACACACACTCACACCAAGGGAGAATTTAGAGAGACCAATTAACCTAACAGTCATGTTTTTGGACTGTGGGAGGAAGACGGAGTACCTGGAGATAACCCACGATGCACAGGGAGAACATGCAAACTCCATGCAGAAAGACCCCAGGCTGGGAATCAAACCCAGGACCTTCTTGCTGCAAGACAATAGTGCTACCAACTGCACCACTGTGCATGGTTGTTTGTCCTGTCTGATTCTGTTTTGCCCTGTGACAGACTGGCGACCTGTCCAGGGTGCACCCCGCCTCTCGCCTGGAACGTTAGCTGTAGATAGACCAGTACCTCCCGACCCCTCTAGGGACCAGGGTGTCAGAAAATGGACGGATGGATGGATGGATGGATGGATGGATGGATGGATGGATGGATGGATGGATGGATGGATGGATGGATGGATGGATGGATGGATGGATGGATGGATGGATGGATGGATGGATGGATGGATGGATGGATGGATGGATGGATGGATGGATGGATGGATGGATGGATGGATGGATGGATGGATGGATGGATGGATGGATGGATGGATGGATGGTGGATGGATGGATGGATGGATGGATGGATGATGGATGGATGGATGGATGGATGGATGGATGGATGGATGGATGGATGGATGGATGGATGGATGGATGGATGGATGGATGGATGGATGGATGGATGGATGGATGGATGGATGGATGGATGGATGGATGGATGGATGGATGGATGGATGGATGGATGGATGGATGGATGGATGGATGGATGGATGGATGGATGGATGGATGGATGATGGATGGATGGATGGATGGATGGATGGATGGATGGATGGATGGACTTAAAGCCAAACTGAATTTGGTTTGTTTTTCTCCACAGTTGTCAACCTTTGGTCACATTGAGGAAATGCTGTCATATTCATGGACATGAGTTCAACTTCCTATTCCAGTTTGCTCGGTCCAGCCGAATCACAGGTCCCTCCTGAGACGGATCCTTTTGTCTCTGATGTGCTGGAGGAGGTAGTGCCCCCTCTCCTCCACCAGGCGGACCAGCGGCCTGAGAGCGGTGTACCCGCCACGGCTTTCCCAGAACTCCTTGTCTACATAGAGGGAGCGCAGCAGCAGATGTTCCAGGCAGCCAGAGCGGAGCACAGACACAGCTTTCTCTGGAAACCTGAGCAGAGACGACAGAGGATATGAAAGAGCTTCACCTGAGCTAAACCTATCTTCTATAAACATATCTTTTAGGAATAAATTTCTTCCACCAGTGAAACACTCAGAGCAACAGAGACGCATGCAATCTTGTTTAAAAAAAACAACTAAACGATTTCTAAAATCTATTTTATTTTCCTAAAAACATAAAAAATAACAGCTTAGCCTGGCGGGCTGCCAGGCCTATAATATACTGGACCTGTTCATTAATCAGCTCATCTGCTTAAATATCTCCATATGCCAGCTCTCAGTCATATCAGCTGGTTTTGTTTTGAGTTTTTATTTTTGATTTGGACTTTTTTGTTTTAATCATGACTTCATGACACCAGCATGCCGGTTTATGTTAGAAAAAGAAAAAAAAACAGTCTGGTTTTGAATCATTTAATGGTGGAGTTTGTAAAAGACGTTACAATAGCTGAACAACTCTCTACAGTGGGACATCTGGTGTTGTTGATTTTAACAATGGTGACTGGAGAGGTTCTTAGATGTTTTTTGTGCTTCCTCCTGTTCTGTAACATAGATGTGGGAAAGTGTGTGTGTGTGTTCTGTTTGTTCAGCAGTCACACAGTTCACTCACTCATCAATGCCCTCAAGCAGCCTAAAGTTGAGGTTGCTGTTGGATTGCTTTGGTCTGCCAGCATTATCTATGAACACAAGTCTGGAAGGATCCGTCTTCCTCACCTGAGCAAACAGCAGAGATGAACAGCATGCTGCAGCGTAACCAAACCACTATGTACGGAAAATGAACCAAGGAAAGTGATTCAATCCATTTCAGCGTATTAGATTTCAACATTCCCATTATCATCATAATACCGACATAGCAACATCTTGAAATTTTGAGACTTGTACAACTGTTTGAAACAGCAGTTTCCATAAGACTTAGATTTTAAAACTGCACTAGTAACGTATAATTGCTTTGCTCACCAGGATGTGAACCAGCTGCAGCTCCTTGCTGTTGCCACACTTAATGTTCAGACGGTTCTCCACACAGAGTTCTGCTGGATCAGGTGTAAACCCACAGCAGTTCCTGTCCAGACGGTCATTTACCTGGAAAAAGAGAAAAAGGAGCACTAGAAATATGTAAAATAAAAATACAATAAGATTAAAAACAATACAAGCAATGTGAAAAATTATATTTTTATCACATATGGTCAGAAAACAGGGATCTATCTGATCTGCAGCTCATGGTTCACCTCAGCTTGTATTAACAGGAATCACTAGTCTGACTGATGTTACCACACAAATGACTCAGAACACCAAACATCTGGGCTTTATTGACACTAAACGTTACTGCTCTTAAAACAGTGTGCAACTCAAGCCCTAATAATTTAAACTAGTGAATTTTTTTTTATTCGTTTTGGGGGAAAAATCTCTGCAGAATGGATTCCAATAAGGATAATTATAGTAATTATGCCACACCAGAAGGTGGCAGTAGTAACATCAAAACAAGAAGATTCTGAACCTGGGGAAAACATTTCCAAGCCAACAAAACTTTCTTTTTTCCTTTATTCTATACTATTTCAAAAGTCCATAGCTAAATATAAGATAATTTGTTTTCTTTGCCTGCGACAGACTGGTGACCTGTCCAGGGTGTACCCCGCCTCTCGCCCGGAACGCAGCTAGAGATAGGCACCAGCAACTCCCGACCTCGTTAGGGAATGGATGGATGGATGGAAGGATGTTTTCTTTGCCAGACTATGGGATAATTCTTTTCTTGCCGTGCCTGGAAACCAACTCCAGCTGACCCTGTTGTTGTTGTGGGCTCCCTGTATAGCAGCTCTCCTTATGTTCTGTCAGCAGTTACTCCTGCAGATCAATCTGCCAAAAGGTGCTGGGTTTTGTTCTCCAGACCCATGTGAGTCTCCTGTGTGATCTTGGTGGTCACTAGTTGTTTGCCACATTCTAGAATACCTGCCTATAAAACAACATTCATAAGGAGAGCTTGAGATTCTGGTTGGCTGGTTCAAATGCTTCATTTTGCTTCAGCAAAGCTCAATCATCAGAAGCAGCTGCTGCACAAAGTAAGACACATTAAGCACCAGACTTACATGCCATACCTCTCAACCTGCCCTGTCACCATCAACCAATCAGAATACTCCCCAGATGCTCAGTTCCTCCACTAATCACTCTGATATTCTCAATGTTTTAGTCTGAACATTGCCACTTTGCCACATGGCAGGATTTTCACTGCATTTTGTGAATCCCTGATGGTAAAAGATTAGAGTAGCTCAGTCTTGAAGGAACAAATTCATGGACTAATTCTTCAGTATCACCTCGGACAGAATATTTCAGAATTTGGCAAATAGAAAGAAGGAAACTCTAGGTCCTAAACTAAGGTAGGTTTTAAGTAATAAACAAGATCTACTTTAAGTTTTAGGACTTACTACCAAGAGTGAACATCAGCTCTCTTTCAACCTAACTTGAACCTGATTTCTGGGATGCTGCTGTCCATGGTTCTGAACAATATTCAAAGACACTGCAGTGGAAAAGTCTCACAATAATATAATGTATGCTTTATTTACTAACAATCAACACTGTTAATATTTTATTTTATGATAACTTTATTGTATTTTTTCAACATTTCAAGATTTTTATTGCATTTTTTTATGTTGTTTGGGTGCAATGGTGCATTCAATGACAGAATGTTGACTAGGAATTCTTATTATTTCATTTTTGGTTATTTTTGGTGCTCCCATTTTTCAAAGCAATTAGCAACAGGTTGGGCTGGGGCACTGTTGGACCAGTCAGATCCACAAACCTAGGGTGGTTTCTAATGTCAATCAATCAATCAATCAATCAATCAATCAATCAATCAATCAATCAATCAATCAATCAATCAATCAATCAATCAATCAATCAATCAATCAATCAATCAATCAATCAATCAATCAATTAATCAATCAATCAATCAATTTTATTTATGAAACTCCCTTCATATTAAAAGGAGCTTGAAATGAAGTACAGATCAATAAAAACAAACCCCTATTTCTCACCATGGAGCTACTAGATCAAGTTGAGAGAACATCAGCATGTATAACAAAAAAAACAGGAAGTGGTGTTTTATACCATAGTCATAATGCTGTTACATCCTCTAATTACAATAACCGAAAGTCAGAAAGCATTCAAGAAGAGCAGGTTGGACACCAGAGAACTCACATGGCAAGAACCTGGTGAAGAGTGGAAGAAATTGACAGACATCTTATCTGCTGGGGACATAAAAGAACCATGAGAACCAGATGGAAACAATCAGCAAAATGCAGAGAAGCTGAAGCATGAACTGAGGGCAAATGACCCATTAACACAGAAGATCAACTCAGAAATCTGCAGAAGACAAAGACGACAGAGTAAGGGGGTTTTCACGCCTGATAATCTGGTGGACTATGTTCAATTGGAGGCCAAATGTGCTCCATTTGTTACATTTCCAGCTGCTGTGGTTCACTTTAATTCTGCACACCAAACAAAGCAAAGCCTTTGGAACACCTGTTCCCCTCCTCATCTGTGGTGGCGCTGCACTAAGAACCTCTGAGGGAAAAATCACAAAAATCTCCAAAGACACTGAACACAACTTTCTTCTTCACAAAATGCAAACAAAAATGGAGTGGTGTCAGATTTTAGCGGTTGTATTATTTCTCTATTGTCAAAAATCCTTGAGCCATTTCTCCTGCTAATGCCAGACCTGCATGTTTGTTTGGTTGTATTTACCCAGAATGCCATGTGATATAGTCAATTTTCTGCTTTTGAAGTGGAACTAGAATTCCCTTCAGAGAATCCCAGACCCATTCACTCCTCCCCTCCCCAAACCTTCTGCTGTTTGCTGCTCTGCTCCTGTCAAGCCAGCAGGTAGGAACAAGTGTTCATCTCAATCTGAGGCTATTAGAGGTTGGACATGTTACAGGGATCAAGTACTGGCAGCAAGAGGAAGAATCTGCCTCATGGGTTATTCATATTCAGTCACAAACATACATACACACTCCAACTCAGAACAAAGCAGCTCTAAATTACTGCTGCAGGCTGTGAAATTAGAGGCTCCATCCTGTTTCAGACATGTGAGAGCGAGCAAAGCAATATGTTCAAAACACACAGAGACAGAAAATCATTTACTGTGCATGCAAGTAACCCGGGCAGAAACAAAAGAAATTTTCAGTGTGTGATGATGTCCAATAACTGCACTGAATCTCCACAATAAAATGTCTTTATAGATCTTTTTATTACATTTTTATGTCTTTAGGTTGGAAATCATGGAAATTTTTAATAAAATTTTTTTACATACTTTTTTCATAAATTTCAACATTCTACAGAAGAAAATTAAAATTTTCACAATGTTTAATTGTTTTGTCTATTTTATAACCTAAAAATAGAAATATGAGTGGTTCTTCAAAAATAACATCAATATCACTTTGTTCGATGTGTATGTTTTGTAAAAGGTGGTCCTGTGACAGGCTGCGACCTGTCCAGGGTGTAACCTGACTCTCGCCCCAAACGTTCACTGGAGATAGGCACCGGCACCCCCTCCTGATTCCAGGGACAAAGGTGTACAGAAAATGGATGGATGGATGGATGGAAGGATGGATGGATGGATGGATGGATGGATGGATGGATGGATGGATGGATGGATGGATGGATGGATGGATGGATGGATGGATGGATGGATGGATGGATGGATGGATGGATGGATGGATGGATGGATGGATGGATGGATGGATGGATGGATGGAAAAGGATGTGCCACGTTTGTGGCTTTCAGTGAGTTTTATTTAGCTGGATTGGGAATAAAAAATTACTTTTTGGATTTTGAAGGACCTCAGGTTTTTCAAATGTTGCATTTGCTCTTACTTCTTACTGCTCTTACTGACAAAACTGAAAAGAAAACATTGTAAAAATGACTGTATCAAGATATGCCTCAAATGCAATTCATATGCTATATGCTGAATTACCAAGAACCACACACATTTTCTTCTTCACCTCTTAATGTTTATTCTAGTTCACAAAGGATTAGCACAGCTTCTGGATTTGTTATGTATTCAGTTTCCTTTTCAGGCTCTTATTTGTGTCTGTGTACTTGTATTACTGCTACCCTGGGGATTTTGATGTTTAGACTGAAAAACATAAATAAATACATGTTTCTGTGAGGAAATAGAAGCTACAGAAGTTACTATTTGAGTAAGAACTATCCCCTAAAGTGACAGAAGCTTAAAGGAAGTTTACACACTGCACTGGGAAAAAAACGCACCCCCACCCCTACACACACACACACGCACACACACGCACACACAAAACTCATGTTCTCTTTTAGCTGAAATTTTTTTTTAGCATAATCACATTAATGTTAATTATCAGTAGTGTTGTCATAACGTTTTATCTTTAGGTGAATTATATATCATACTGTATGAACTGTATATCTTCTGTACATTGAACATAAATACAATTGTTTGTGTTCAAGTCATTCCTCCATTTCAAAACCTGCAACATGTTCCAGTAAAATATGGGAGCTAATTTGCTCCCAATGCAACTACAATGAGTTCAAAGGAGACTACGTAACAGCGTGCAACACTTATGCTTCGTTTTGACCCATATTTTCTACTGAAGGAGAACTACATGCACACCAGATCAAGCCAGCCACACTTTGATTTTTATGAGGAATCTGGTTATTTATTGCTATGTTAAATATATATGGTCTTCCCTGGAAACATGGAGAAGCAGAAAAAAATTGGTTCATAGATTCAGATCAAAGGAGAGAGACAGAAAAACTTTGCATCGAAAACAAACCTACCCTGAATTTTATTTAGGACTATCTGAGTAAAAGGGGCTATAAGTAACTAGGACATTTATTAGTTAAAAATTTAAAAGCAACATTCTATCCTTCAACTTCTATCCCTCATCATAAAGAGGCATTACTTAGTGACTGTCATAGAAACTCCCAATAAGATATATGAAGGTCAAAAGTTGCAGCAGGATCGAATGTTTACACGATAAACAGGTTTGAATACTTCTTCATAATGAGTCAAAAGAAGAAAACGGAAACATCTTCTCTTACCTGTAATAAGAAGTCAAACAGAGCCAGTCTTCCCCACTCTGCATGCAGAACCCCAACACATGGCTCTGAGCTCAGACTTGTTTGGTTCCCACACTGGGCCTGCAGCAGCTTCTGGTACTGGACCCAGCTGAGAGGCACTGAGTTCTGGTCGCTGTCCTTATCATCCAGATGCTGAATGTCCGGGTCCCACCAAACCGCCGGCCTCGGCTCACCGTCAGTGAATCTGTAGGGCAGAATGTGATCGTGGAACCTTCTGAGAACTGCCGGCAAGCTTCTGTTGAGTCCGAGGATTCTGTCCAGGTGGAAAGCAAACACCTCAAACCAGTCGTCAGGGCGTTTGACCAGGGAGCACAGCCCCCGCTGGCAGAGGCCGCTGTGTCCAGCTCCATGCTGCTGTGAATCCCTCAGTGGTGGGATGTTCTGTGGCAGATAAGCACATTCAGATTTTACAGTTTAGTTGTTTTTTTGTTTTCATTGAGATTTAAAACAAATACAACCACAGTCTGGAAAAAAAGAAAGTGCACCCTTCAGTACTTAATGAAACAATCTGGTCAGAAACACAGAACAAATTAAAAACAACAAATGTCTTGTTGTTGAGCTCATATGTTTATTTTTTCAATAATTTAGCAACACAGAGGGATGGAGGAACACACCTGGTGACGCGCAGGCAGACCTAGAGCCACCTGCAGGACTTGTCCATGAGCCGGCACCCGGCTCTTACTGACAACTTCCCCACCAGCCAGGAGCTCCATCTTCTCTATGTCGTCCCTGCTGAGCCAGTGAACATGCTGCAGGTCTCCACCCACCCTGATCTTCCTTTGGTCAGCGTCTAAAAAGTCCAACTCTGGGAGGCCCTGACACCAGTCCCTGTCACCCTGCTGAGCGGTGGCTTCAACTTCTGATGCAGCCTCTCTGTCATCCCGTGATAAATGACGATCCTCTCGCAGATCACTAGAGGGCATTTCCTCCTTACCCACACTGGCAGGTTTCCCAGAGTGCTTTGGAGCTTTTCCGTGTCTTTCCAAAGCTGTGTGTCGTTGGTTTTGCTTCTCCCTGGTCTGGCTGTCAGTCGTCTGTCTGACTGCGTCCTGGTGTGTGTGTCTGTGAACTGCTCTTTGGACGCTTTTAATGGTGTCTGCTGCGGAAGACTTGTGGTCTGATTTGGAAACATTTCCTTTGAGATGAGTGTGTGTGTGTAGCGTGTGCTTCACCACAGCAGTGTGGCTGCTCGGCTTAGTTCTGCGCTGGAGCTCCATGTTGTTCCCTGTAAAATCAGGACGATGAGAGTGAGCGAATACATCCGCCATGTCTTGGCTGCTTTGCTTCTTGTTATGGACGTCAGGGTGACTCCTGACTTTAACAGGTCCTGCAGAGTTTGCGACAGGCTTTAGCAGTGCTGAGTGTGTGGACATCTCCTTCCCAGAGCTGTGTCTCCTGGTCCTGCTGTGGATGTGAGGAGCAGGCTGCTGGAAGCCGCTGAGTGCTGCGAGCTCCACTACCCGGGGTTTCAGCTTCCTCATGGCACTCAGAGCTTTGGACGGCCGCCGGTCGACATCAGCGGGCGGCACAGGGAGGGGCAAAGTGACCTCCATCACGAAGATCATGAGGAATAGGAGGAGGAGAGGAGAAAGGACAACAATCCATCTTGGGCCACAGCAGAGTTTCGTCCACACTCTCCAGTTCTGAGAAAATCAAAAATACAAAAAAGGAAAGAGGACTGCCAGTTAGAGAACAGCAGAAGTATAATTATACTGGACTAGGATTATAAATCTCGTAGTTAGCAATTTTCTCTAAACAGAAAACAGTGTTTATGCATCTGGAAGGTTCCCTCAGCTCAACTTCTGGTTGCAGGACCGCAGTGTGTGCGCGTGTGTGTATGCGTGTGTGTGTTTGTGTGTGTGTGTGTGTGTGTGTGTTTGTGTGTGTGTGTGTGTGTGTGTGTGTGTGTGGGGGTGTGTGTGTGTGTGTGTGTGTGTGTGTGTGTGTGTGTGTGCGTGTGTGTGTGTGTGTGTGGGTGTGTGTGTGTGTGTGTGTGTGTGTGTGTGTGTGTGTGTGTGTGTGTGTGTGTGTGTGTGTGTGTGTGTGTGTGTTCCTCTGCCTGCAGGAAAAGACGCATTTCAAGTTTGATACAATATGTAGCAGCTGGAGATTACTGTGACATTTAACCAAAACAGTAAGAAGAGATCAGAGCTGCAGCCATGTGTGTGTGTTTGTGTGCTGAGAGCAGCAGAATAAGAAGCCAATGCTTCCAGTATTGACAGGAAAGATGGACTGTCCTTCTGAGACCAGCATGAATGTGCCAGACCCATAATTCAGTGCTGCCTTTCCTTTCCCAAACATTTGGTTCTGCAGGTGGTTCCATTCGACACGCTGTTGGTGAAGGAAGGTGACAGCAGCAATGGAGCAAAAACAGGCTGCAGGAAATCAAAGATTTAAGGTATTTCCACAGCGGTAGTCCAGTCCGGTAGACTCGGTTCTATTGAGGACCAGCATTGCAACATTTGTTTCATTTTCAGCTGCTGCTTTTCGCTGCACTGCACCAAGTGAACTCAACCCTTTGAAAAACCTGTTCCCCTTTTCACCTGTGGTGGCGCTGCGACAAGAACCACTGAAGGAAATGACAGAATCTCTGAAGACACTGAGATAGACTTCCTTTTTCATAAGATGTAAACAGAAAGGTGGAGAGATAAAGACTTTTAACCGATCGACAAAACATCACAAATCAAGATGACTTTTATTGTCTTAAGCTGCAGACATTCCCACAAAACTTTAGCACCTCTGGCTTCAATCCCAGCTGGAAAATAACTTCATTTCATTTGGATTGTTATGCAACAGACCAACACAATATGTAGCATACCTATGAAGTGCTAGACAAAATATACAATCTGTTAGAGCGAATGGAGAGTTGATCGACATCCATTGTCAAGACGCGGTCAGATTCCCAGCTGGATTTAGATCTGGAATTTAATTTCCACTTTTTATTCATTCACTCCTTTGTGTTGGTTTGTCAAACACAGATGGGGGAGAATTAAGCGGGTATTTCTGCAGGCACCGTAAATCAGCCATCTTCATTCAGAGGCAGGAATGTTTCAGGGCCTCGGGAAATCTTTCCAACCTTCCAGCTGTTAACCACATTCCCAGATTCTCACCAGGCTCTGGGACTTTAGTGAAAGGATCCCATTATTCTTTACCTGGAATGTAAAGAAAAAAACAGGCTCTATGTGCAGCAGCAGTAGTGTCTCCTATGGTAAACACACTGATGGCCCCATAGACCAACAAAGGCATATGTGTGTGTAGACAAAGGAATCTGTCTTCCCATAAGATAATATAATATTTGATCCCTACAGAATGCTCACTTGTAGCAGACTTTTGCAGCCATTTTTTATTGCCCTGTATTATTATGAATGTCTGGCTGCATTCCTTCACTACCAGCCTGCTGATGACCTGAGGAGAAAACTATCAGGGAATAGTTTTAATCTTAAGACATTCTTCATTTCTACAATCTTGACTTACAAGCAGTGAGGCAGCTCCTCCCATGATATAAAAAATAATCTTATTTGCTTTTATTTTCAATAGGTTGGATTAATATTATGTTATCCATGCAGGTTTCTGTAAAAACAGTTTGTTTTTCCCCCCCATTTGTTTTTGCTGGATTAAACATTATCTCTGTGTTTGTGACTCTTCGTTGTTCTTGTTCTGACTGCAGCTCAACACCAGCAGCTTCCACCCACCTGCTGCTCTCACATCTCTGAATATTTGGATTGGATCCACACTTCTCATCTTCCTCCAACCACCTCATCTGCTCTGACAAGCTGTGACCTCCCAGCCCTTTTTTTTGTTTGTTTTCTTATCTTTTTCTTCCTATTTCTTTGCTAGGAATTACTGCAGGGATGGTATGCAGTAATATGTTGAGACACGCAGCAGGTGCTGCAGCCATCCAGTCAGTCAGCCAGCCAATCAGCTCACCTCAGGAGAGGATGGAGCAGAGGGAGGACAGGGAACAGGGACAGATGGACGAAAAGGTAATGATACGTTCAGTGAGACAATTCAGAGAAGCAGAGAAATTAGGTTGCTGCACTGAGTGATTGTGTTGAATAAAAGATGGTGATGATCTTTCCCACATACCTTGACTTTATCACAACCCAGTGATAAAGTCAGCATAAAACTTTAACCCTAAAGTTTTAATGCAGATATTTTCTGGTTCCATTGTGATACCCATAAAATGGTGATGAGAACTATTCGTTACTTTTTATGGCTGACACTGCATGAAACACAAACACTGGTCTTGAAAAACGTTCTCTTTTGTAATGTGCTTCTTATAGACACCAGTCACTAATCTACAGTAAGTGGATAAGTTCATATTTTCCTATTTCATTTAATTTTATTGATATTTATTGATGCTATCATTGACAAAAAAAGTACAAAAACAGTTTTAGGTATGTTTAAACTGCATTAATTAGAATTTATCATTATGATAGATCGTAATTATAAGAAATTATAATTATAAGAAATTTCTCTCTATAAATGAGAAACAATATTATAAATGTCCACCACAAAACAGTTTTGACAACCACTCTGGAACATGTATGCCTAGTGTTTACATTATCATAATCCGACTCACTAAACTTTTCCAACTAGCTGAATTCTCTGGGAATTTTCCTGAACCTCAGACAGGAAGGGATCCACTGTATTCATGAACCGCTAAGTTTATCCTGTATTTCTGCTATGCCAGGAATAAAATCCAGAAAAAATGCAATGTATGTGAATATACTCATACATTTAAGAGACAGAAAGCGACCTTGTGTCGATTCCTTTGTAAGTACAAACAGAGAGGTGTTCTTCCTGTGTAATGAAATGTGAGCGGTCCACACCCCAGTTCTGCTGTCGGTAGCGTTCTGCTGCAGAATCAAATGACCGCTCACGACGCCCAAGTGGGTTATGCTTTGTGTTTTATTTAGGTACAAGACACGCTTGATGTTTTAAACAGCATAAATCATAGCGAAAAGTTCATATATTTCACAAATATCACACCAATAATCCTCCCAAGTATTAAGCTATATATATATTTACCAACAGATTATTATTTGTGTATGTATTTTTTTTCCTAACTGCATCAGTAACACTTTCATAGGTATTTATATTCACACTGAAATTTGTTTTTCAGCATTTTTTATGTGAACTTTGGTAGCCAAGCAACGACATTTAGTTGCTAAATTCACTGTTGTGTCTTTGTGCAAAGACAAAAAATTATGTGTAAGTCTAAATTCAATTCAGAAGACAAACAAAATAATTAACTGTCTAAAATGTAGATTTAGTAGCTGGATCAAACTCCAGCTCCTGAGAGGCAGAAAATCATTTCACTAATTTCTGACTGGACCAATCAGAAATGTGTCTCTGCAGTTTGTACACCTACATACTTGTTGTGTGGGGGCCACTAGTCAGTCACCGTACAGCAGTCTGGGAGCACATATACCAGTTGAACAGATTCATCACATGGAAAATGTTCATCTAACATCCATATAACGAAGTGTGCTCATTTTCTTTATGCCTTAAAGTTTTTGCTGACTTTTAACAGCAATAAACTGAGTGTATGTAGCAGATTTAAAAGATAAGCATTCTATTTATGTGTCGTGCATGTGCATGTGTGTGTGAGTGTGTGTTATCAGTAAATGGCAGCACAGTAATTTGATGTGTCTACCCGCAATGAGGTGAAGTAGATAATCACAGTTTGATCAGACACCAATAACCTGAGACGTTACTCAAAAGTAGATTTATAGAAGCAATTCTCTGCACAGAAACTAGAAAATTATTTACTGTAGAAGTTTCCATAATTTACAATTTGTCTAAAAGGATTTATCTGCTGACAGATCAAAATCAACAATTGTTCAAAGTAATTTCAGCTTTACTTTGAAACCAACCAAGCAAATAATGCAAAACTTTAATATCTAAGATTTTTGTTTTAATCATAATGACAAATTTCGTGTTCCTTGTCCTTTTCTCTCTGTCATTTGATTGAGAACACATTTTATTTACCTTGGACTGATGATTGTTGCCATGCAGTAGAGTTTGGCTTTTCTGAGTCACAGAATTGTCTCTTCACAGCTGTTGGTTTTGATGCCTCCTCATCTGTTCCTCTCCAGCCAGTGCAGTCACAACAGGAATTATGTCAGAGGCCAAAGCTTCAGCGGCGCTAAGTTGCAGCGTCAGTTCCTCACTCAGAGCTAATAATCCTGTAGGCTTTTCCATGATTGTCCACTGATGTGTAGTGAGGTCATCAGGCAGCTCATATTCAGACCCAAAGGTTCCCAAAACCTGCTTCTGTTTATGGAGAATGAGAAAAAAAGCTTTTCCACCAGGTCTGCACATCTTGCTGGAATCTTCTTATGGGCTGATTGAGGTGCAGTGAACATCTTTCAAGCAGGAGTATGTGAAGGTGGAGTGTTTAAGATGCCCAACTATTCTACATCCAACAGAAACAACTTCCGCTACTCTTCCCTGAGGCAGAAGTCTCTCGCTAACAGCGAGCTGGAGGGTATAAACTTAGGGAGGTTCGTGTCACTCAGCACTTTGATTGTGTTTTGTCCCCGAGCGCAACATTAACAACTTTTGGGAATATTCCACAAACAAAGCATATCCTCAAATATGCCTGGAATGGCATTTCTGTTAGCACTGCCATGCAAGGTGTACCGCATTAGTAATTCAGTTGGTATACCACACTAGCAATTTGCTAGTGTAAGAAACCCCAAAGTTGCTTTGCTTGTAACAAATCCCAGAGATGAACAAGTTCAGGTCTAAAATGTGCAAATTGATTCCAGAACAAGAACCAGATACCTTGTGAAAATGCTGCTGAAGCTGGTAAGACAAAGTAATTGTCCTCTGTAGGTTTGAGACCACTGGTCTGAAGACATCAGTCTTCAAGTTAAAGTCAACCAGACCCAGTTTTGGCAGGAGGAATGGACCAGAACTCAAGAAAACTGAGAGAAGCTCGTAGAAGGAAACCAAAAACATTTAACCCAAATCTTCAAGGGTTTCTATGGAACTCCATATTATTAGCAGTCCATTTGCTGATTTGTTCATCAAGTACATCTAAAATATTCATAGGAAAACTCCACTTAGATATGGCAGAATGCTACTTGACTTATCATTGGCTGACGTTTTCTAATCAGCCAATGAAGGAGCAGTCTGACTGGCTGTTCCCCAAAGAGTGGAGATTTGAAAGACAGTTAACTTCAGCGGTAATGCCAAGACAGTTTTCTTGTTTTCTTGTGCACATCTATGCAAATAAAGGTATATTTGGTGTTTGAAGTACTAAAATAATTAGCTACAAGCATTTTTAGAAGAGGTCTCGAGTATTATTGACTTTCTGTTATTTACTCTTTATCTGATCTTTAGTTATGGTCTGGTACTGCTGTGAATACTGGAACTCCAGAGTAATAATCTAAATTTCTACTGAGGTAATTATGCAGCAAGGCTCTACTTTTTCCAAAGTACTGCCTTGGAGAATTTTTTCCTAAGACATCAGGTCTGCTTCCCCTGTTGAAACACAAGGCACATAGACGCCTAATACTGTGAAAGTATTCAAGGACACATTCTGAATACATTCAAAAAGGTTACAGCAAAATCCAAAAACTGCAAATATTGAATCTAGCCATAACACTACAATTAACACCGTACAGTATTTTCTTTCCAATTAGCTTTTTTCTAAATTAGCTTCGGTTAATTAAATGCCTATTTAAAATAATGTTATGTTTTACTTTGCCCACAGCTATTCCTGATACGTCCCAGGCAGCTTCAAAACTCGTCTTCACATTCTCTCAGCACTGCAAACACATTGCTGTCTGACTAACAGATGGGATTATTTTCAGTTTTAAAAAGCTCTGGAAAGTGTGATCTTTGATTGTGTTTTCCGTGTTTAGATGTGAGGCCCGGACAGCAGATCACAAGCCTGAATGTAATTATTCTTTGGCACAAGAATCCTCCTCTCTTTTTGCCTGCGACTGGCTTGCATACGTGGACAAATCTGTTTCCCAGTCCACATTCCATTCTCCTGAGAGGAAGGTGCAGCATGAAAACGAATGTTTGCAGAAGGAAGCAACAGTCAAAAGATAACAAAGGCTAACATTACAAAGTAAGTGCAGCATTCAAAAGAAATAAACTATATTTAGTCTGTTTTCTCTCTACAGCCAACAGAAGAAAAAAAAAATCACCATTTCTTTCAGCTCATTTGCCAGTTGTGGCAGCAAAAGCATTTGCATCGAGGAACTGCAGGAGGTGCTGTTTGGTTCAAACATTAGTGCCACATGTCAGAATAAAGTGCTGCCCAGATTTGCCTGGTTTTATTTAGTTTAATATTTTTATTGAATGACAGACAGATTCAGAGGACCAGTCTGCAAAGTGTCTTTAGTTACACATTCAGAAGACAAATCCTTTGCGTGAGACAAAAACAAAATAATTTTTTGTATGAATTGTTGCAAAGCAATGCTGTTCTGTTTGGAGTGGGATTCGCCCCAAAGGATATACAAATAGAAAGAAAAAAAACCCCACAATGTGGTTACATCCAGAACTATTGAAGAAATCAATATACATGCATGGAAAGTAAGTGACAGAAGCTGCACTTTCATTACAAATGTTGTCAAATCTCTGTCTATATTCTGCTAATGTAAAAAAAACAATTACGGTGTTTCCACTCAATAAGAGACTAAATTAAAATCACAAACGAATAAACTAGTTCACGCGATAAGTCATTAAAAAGTCCTGGCACTTTTACATGGATGTAAACAGTTTTATATATAACTAGAAATATATTCATAATTCAGCCTTGGCACTAGCACTCATCATCTATTAGCCAATCAGAGGAGAAGTTAGCGTCTTTTCAGGTGTTGGAGCGACAAAAACTACTTGGGAGCGACTTCAGATGTGGTGTTTTGGGGAAAGCGCCGCATACAGCTTTCTTTGTTATCAGTGATTTACAGCCCTAACATGACTGTTAGGTTGATTGGTCTGTCTAAACTCTCCTTAGGTGTGTGTGTGCGCGCATTGTTGTGTGTCCTGTCTTTCTGTGTTGCCCTGCGATGGACTGATGACCTGTCCAGGGTGACTCCGCCTCTCGCCCTCTGACAGCTGGAGATAGGCTTCAGCACCCCTCCTAACCCCAAAGGGATAAGGGTGCAAGAAAATGGATGGATGGATGGATGGATGGATGGATGGATGGATGGATGGATGGATGGATGGATGGATGGATGGATGGATGGATGGATGGATGGATGGATGGATGGATGGGTGGGAGGGAAATGGGTGGGAGGGAATTGGGTGGATGGACCAACTTTTATTTTATTTATTTATTTCTGCTTTATGAGTTTTGCTCTTTTTCCAGAGTGATGAACAAACACGTCTACATTTATACTGTTCTACCCTCTGTTGACTCTGGAGATATGAGACATTACTGCTTGGACACAGGCTGTGAAGAGGTGGAGAAACAGCCAGACACCATAAAGGAAGCAGCTATTAGTGCTGAAGTTTCTCACCGCAACCCTATAAAAGACAGACTATAAACACTGCTGCATTTCCAGCTTCTTACTAATCAAACTGTTTATTTTCTTCTAACAATGCAATCTGTAATTTCTGTCTCTGCTGCCGCCCTCTTAATCCTGTTTAACCAACCAGTGTCTGTTGACGGGGCAAAAACTGATCCTTCTGCATTGACACACTAAACCACCAGGAGTTCTGCATTGCATTCATTATAAATACATCAGAAAATACTGATTTTCAAAAACAATCAGTATTTTGATTTAACCCATGCAAACTGAAATATTTGTAAGAATTGCATTCAAACAAAAAATTAAAATCTGATAAACCATTTTTCAGTGCGCGCACACACACACACACACGCACACACACACACACACCACACACACACACACACACACACACACACACACACACACACACCTACACACCCCCACACACACACACCCACACAAGAACACACACACACACTCACACTTCCTTCCCTTCTTCCAAACTCCTTTGCAGTGACTCACCTGAACAAAAATGACCCATAAGACAATCCTTGTATCCTACACGGAAATATAAACAAAAACAAAGTATTGCTTTTTCTAATGAAATATATTCATTAGTCAATTTAGTCAATTTAGGAAAAGTCACAAAATTTCAAAAGATAGTTTAGAGGTATTATATCTACAAGTAAACATTGTAATGGGTTCATTTTGACCCAGAAGACAACACAAGGGTTAAATTGGTCCCATCTGGACCAATTGGGGAGACGGCGACGCCGCTGCCACAAACAAACCGCACCTGTTGGTTTCAGGAGTTATGGAGGTGTGTGTCAACGTGAAATGAGTGTAGCTGTCCACTAATTGACTGTGTCTTTCACTGACAGACGGCAGTAAACTGCTCTAACAACACGATCCCCAGCAGTCTCTGATATGCAACACACACAACCAGAGCTGTGGCAGGAGACAGGGAAAAAAAAAAGAATCCAAACAAATGGAAAAAAAAAACAGAAAGACATGAAAAAATTTGGAGTCTTCCACTCTGGTCAGAGAGATTTATTTTTTTTCTACTCGGTTATGGGGGTTTTGTTACCACAACAACAAAACCAAAATGGGAAAAATAGAGAGGAACAGTCTTAGAGTTTCCCCTCTTGCTTTCTATGTGGCACTTGAAACATTCAGCGCCGGCTCTGCTCAGCATATGGAACCAATTTGAAATGTGAAACTTCAGAGACTCCTTAAAATGTGGGTGAAACTTTGTTTAGGTGTGCAAACCCAATTCTATTCAAAACTCTTTGCAAACAACTTTGCAGAATGAAAGTGTCACTGAATAGAGTTCTGGGGGAAAACAAGCTGGTCATGGCTCTGTTTGTTTGCAATAACCTTTCTAGATGTGATGCTGTTGCCCGGCAACTTCACGCTTTTATTTTTTCATTCAAGGAAGGCGGATGACTGTGGTTAAGTAATCTTCATATTCAATTCTCCGAATAGGAAAACAGCTTGTCATACTTTGTGTCCTGAAAGTAAGGAGCTCATTATGAATTAAGAGGAAACAAAGAAATGAAAAATCCCTAATACAAAATGACACTTCTCATTCCCTCTTGTCAGTTTTCAGTAATCATAAATTCTTTGAGCCCGTTTAACACTCAATGTCCATTCAGTGTCGAAAATTGAGTCGCATTATTATGTCTTTGAGAAGAGAAAATATTGCTTGGAAACATAATTGTGAATTTAAATTTCACAAGTATAAATGATGCCTTAAATTTATACTTTTGATTTTAGATCATCACATTCATATAATGATGGGCTAAGTCTTTTTATGTTTTTTTTTTTTTCCCAAAAGATCATTTAGGCAAAATACATAAATAAATAAATCATTTTTGGCAAAATAAAATGACTGAGGCAATTAGATCAGGAAGGAGATTACATCACACATTGTTATTGTAACTTTTAAAATGACAGATTTGTAAATCAAAATGCTCACTTAGAGCATTTTGATTTTAACAGTCTGAAATGTGACTTGGAAATTCCTAATTAAGAATTCCCAAGTCATGACAGAGTTTGAATCGATGAGACAGAAAAGGAGTAACTTTGTTCTGAACCTAAACCCAAATCATTAAATCAGTAGAAAAAGTTCTGACAGAGGCTGATTCTGAATAAAGAGTCTTACCATGTTTGCTGTTCCTTTCCAAAGGAGAGGTGACTTATCCCAGACCCATCCCAGGAGCTGCAGGATATCCCCGGATCTCTGTGAAGCGGCCGGCCGCCGATCCTCTGAGCCTGCTAGTGGCTCTGGCAGAGAGCGTCATGCAGCCGCAGGTTGCAGACAGGAGCCGTGGCTCTCTGCTCCCTGGGGATCATCGCGCTGAAAAGCGGATTTGAGAGTAAAAGGCAGAGTGTGTGAGGAGGAGCGCAGCTTGGAGTGAAATCTGATCACACTCTGCCCCTCGCTCTGCCTCCTGAAGCTTCTCCCAGTCCACAGCAGCAGCACTGCAGCCAGCAGGTGAGCAGAAGATACAAATTTAACCAGCTCCCATCAGCCAGAGCCTTTCTGCTTCTGACGGTAATGATTATTGACAGCAATGAAAAATAACAGAACATCATCTCCTCTGCTTCTGTCTCCGTAGTTATTAGTTTGCAAAGTTGCTAAACTTTCTAAATGTTCCTTAAGTTAAAGTTCAGCTGTGTGATTCTGGTTCCAAAAAAGGAAGAAAATAAGAAAAAAACGTATGTTTCTTACTCCAGTTAAAATCTTCCACGGCATTCATGACACTTCAAAATAAGTGACACCAAATGCATCAACAGACATTTTTTTAAGTGTTGAAGCAAATATATAAGATTTGAAATCACAGTTCTGCTTTTGGCAATGTTAAAAGGGCAGAATAGGAGCCAAACATGAGTATTTTGTGATTGGTCATCAGATGTCAGCCAAGAGGTGACAGGGAGTTGAGAGGTGTTGAACCCGGAAGGGCATACAAGGTTTTGACTGCTGTGGAGGAGTCAGAGTTAATTCTGCTGCTCTGAATCCTGGAATAATTTGATTTTGTTCACAATATGATTGGAATAAATTTGGAATTTGAACAACAAAGAAGATCTTTGGGATTGACTTTACACGGAGTCAACAGGTACAATGTCAGCCACTCAACACGTCATAACATTATAGCTAGTACATGCAACATTATCTAAAGCTGAATTGTTTTTAAATTTATGTGCTGTTATAATGTTATTCCATCATCAAAAACATAGTTATAGTGTTGCTTTGATTCTTTCATCCATGTTTGAGAAATTATTTAATCTCTCACAGCAACCAGCGGTTCAAAACACCTGGGTGGACCTAGCCCCGCCTTCCAGATGCAGCTCCACGTTGGAGCTGAAGTTTCCGATCTTCCGTCTCACAGAGCAGCTCTCCCCAGTGATTCTCCCACTCAGCTCCTTCAGACTAGCTAGCAGCAATTAGCAAACACGTGGTGGAACTAGGCATCTGATGAGCTCTTTATCTGAGATACTTCTCTGTGTAAAAATAGCAAAATAGAGGAGACATGTTGTGATGATATCCAGCATTCTTTAAAAGCAGGAGTCAGAGACCCAATTTAAAGGTGTTATGTTTCAAACCTAAAGTGGGGGAAAATTAATGTCTGCAAATTTTCTGATATTGATAAGCAGAAATACATCAGTAAGGCCAGTAGATGGCAGCATAAAGTTATATGTTTTCTTTTTAGACAGTAACCTTAATAAATCTCGTTTATGGACATGTTTAAAAACAATAAATACATTTATCATCTATAAAGCCTCACAAAGTATAAAAAACATACCAACAAAACAAGCAGCAAGAACCTCAGCCATTACATGTTGTAATTAACTGATAATCAGCTGGGTTTTAATATATAGCAAATGATTTTTATTGCATTCATTTGTCTTTTAATGGTTTAATGATTCATTTGGGAAATTAAGAAAGAGAAATGTGATGAGTTGCTTCGTTGGCATGGTGAAGTTGGGGCTGCTACAGAGTGGAATCAGAGATGAACACTTTCAGGCAGGTCTGTTTTCTGTGGTAAAAATGAGGCTTTGCAGGTGAAAATAACTTTGCATTTGCTTTGGACAGTCATTATCAGTTCTTAGCTAAACTGCTGTCTATAACAACATGGTAATAAATTATACTAGTATGCTTTTCTGTTACTGACGCATACAGACTTTTCAATCAGTCAGAATATTAATAAAAAGTCTACATATTTTAGGAACTTTATCACTAACTGAAACAACAAATATTTCTAATTATTAATTGCACACAGATGGATGTCTTACAGCATTTATTTATATTAATTATGATAATGTTTCACTTACATGACAATTAAAATGAAAGTATTACATCAGACCAATACAAAAAACTATTCTACTACAGAAATGTTTACTTAATTAAAAATATGAATATATGTATGATACCTGAATAAAGGTTATCATTTTAAAAGGTACCTTTAATCTGATAAACCAGTTTCATTCAAATTTATATTCACTTTTTTATATGACTGTAAAAGCTTTTTTTAAACCTATATGGTTTTATTTTGTTTTGCATGTTGCCTGCATGTATTGAAGACTCAGCGCCTGCAGATGGTGACAGTTGTTCATTTTGAAAGTAGACTGAAGCCAGTAACATGAAAGATTAAGTGCAATCTGCTGACATCAATACCATGTCGTATCAGGACATTTGTAGATCGGAAGAAAATAATTTCTTCAAGAGAAATTTCTATCTTCTTTTTTGGCAAAATGTCAATTTTTCAAATTCAGAGATTTCCTTGCTTTTTTCTATAAAATTTCCGAGATTTTTGATGGAAATTTACTCCTTGTTCTTTCTATCATCAATGGCCAGTCATACAGCAATCCTAATAATACAAAGAGTTTCTTCTCTCACTTTTCTTTTGGTAAACATTTGATTTATCAAATACATGAAATTTGGACAAAACACCAACGAATCATTTGAAAAGAGATAACCCCAGGAGTTGACCTGTCTGCTGCAATTTATTTATTTATTTTTTTAGAATTCCAGCTTTACTGGTAAACCAACAACTCTGGTTGCACTGACAAAAAATGTGATAAAAGTTTCCGTGTGAGGAACATCACAAAGCTCTGCAGATGGAGCTCATCTGAACCTTGACTTCTAAAAATCCTGTTGTTACTGATATTCAGTGTTAAAATCCCACAGCACAATCAGCCACTTCATCAGACTGAGCTGACCTCTGCGCCCTAAGCCTGACCTCAGCAGCCACTCCACGCCTACTGCTCACACTCTGTGACATTTCAGCTGAATAAAAGATGTGCCAAACAAGAAACTGTGTGTGTGATGCACAAAGACAGGGACTTTGGGGGCAGCTGTTAAAAACTGACTAAACGCTGATGAATGCACGGTCAATGTGTGCTGCGTTACTTTGGAATGATTTTACTCTGCAATACTGTAAAAGACAAATGACTCTAATGTATGGTAAAATGCTGGCAGCTGTGATTGCCAGTATTTTACCAGAACTTTGCCGTCTTCATACAGTAAGATTCTGGCAACCAAAACTGCCAGTATTATACTTTATTTGCTAAAATACGGTTACTATCTGGCAACCGCAGCTGCCAGTATTGTAGTGTATTTCCCAATATACAGAAAAATAACGTGTTTCCTAAAACATGGTAAAATAAAAAATGAAACTGTGGTTTTGCTGTAGTAAATACCTTCATACCGACTGAGGCATAATATCTTGGAAACCGTGTCTGTAGCAGCTCAGAACTGCAAACTTTTCTATGCAACTTGCGACAAATAAATAAATAAATAAATAAAAACTGAATGGTAAATTATCGGTTGCTGTTGTTACCAAAATATTACCATAAAAATTACAGTACAACACACAAGGAAGAGTGATTTGTCCCCATTTTTTAAGGGTTAGTGACTTTAATGTAAGTATTTTGGGTGAAAATCAAGAGACAAAGGAAAATATTAGATATTAATTCTGATGTGAAGCTTTATACTTTCAGGTATTACCAAAGTATTGAAACAAAAGCGAATATGTTCTTCACAGTTTTAACTTGCATACATGAACATTTCACAGTTTCGACTTACAGTATTTCCATGTATTTTCTACGGTAACAAAATGTTTTGGATATTACGGTCAGTAACTGTTGGTATTTCACCATTTTTGCGGTAAATTTATGGAGTTGTTTTTACAGTGCACACAGTATCTATTAAAAGTATTCCCGCCTTTTTGCTGCCTTTATAATTCAACCATTAGCATCAAAATGTGGCACTTTTTAGTAAAACCAAAACAATATAGTCTAATTTCTACAAAATAATGAAAATTAAATAAACATATTTCACATAAAATAAGTGCATTAATATTCAGCCCATTCAGCATGGAGCCCCAGATGAACCAAAGTATGGACCCTCCAGAACCACTAGGACTTTAACTGTAGTCACTGGAGACACACTGCATTCATCTGATCTCTATTTCACTCATTGCCAGACTATTGTTAGAGTTTTTTAAATTTCATGGAAATCAGTTTTCACTTTGGCTTCAGAGGAGTTTTGTGTCATCTTTTTTGTCAGAAAAGCCACATTTTGTTGATCTTAACTTATTTGTAAAAGCCGGAAACAGAGTTAAACATTCAAAGAGGTGAATACTTGCTGTAGACACTGTACACATTCTCTAATAGAGACCAGAGTCTTGCTGGTCTTTTACATATTACATTTTCTGCACGTTCCTACAGTGATTCATGAATATCATGTGGAAAGATCCACAGCTGCCCCAAGCTGGTTTTATGAAATTCTATTGAAACTCAACACAGCATGGCTCTGAAGACTCACCATAGTAAATAATCTCAGTCGTCAGAGAGTACAAACAGGGCTTTGGACGGCAAATACAAACCTGACGAGTTCCCTCGCATTATCTTTTAGATGAAGAGAGATCTGATTAGTTTGAGGAAAGAAGATAAACAAAATTAGGTTCACAAAAACAAAGAACAGCTTTCACAAAACAATTTTTGTTTATTTAATAAATGATGTGCAGCAGTCGACTTGGTTTGGCTATGAGTAAGTTAACAAAATCAGTATTTCATATCAAACTAATCAAGGACACCATGCAATGAGACAAGGTGAGGAGACACATGCAAACACACAAACTTAAACACAGATTTGTACATATTTTTAATACATGAGCTCATATTAGGTCATAACATGGATGTTGGTGTTCTTGTTTTGGGTCACTATGCAGAGCCAACAGATAATCCTGCAAAGGAAGACATCCCTGCAGGAACGCTTTGCTTTGTGGTGGTTTGTGGTTTTGCTTGGCTGCAGGGGAGCTTAAACTGAAATTCAGGGAAACCCGTCATGATAC